GGACATTGCGAAGTTGTGCGCGGCGGCCTTGGTGCAGGGGTGTCCAGCTACGGATTTACCATTGGAGTTGCAGATGTGTTTGACTCCCAGATACTTCAAAAGTAGATCTTGGATTTCGCATTCTAATCAGTCAGAGAGAGGCATAGTGGCTGGCCCCCTCAATGGAGGTCGCATGGCGAAGGCATGTTCGGAACCCATCTTGGCCAGAGCTCACGACAGGCGCGGTTTACAGATTGCGTTGCATACGCGCGTTGCTGACGCAGTTATCAGAGTCCAGGGAACCGAAAGTAAGTTTATTGATATCATAGCAGAGCCGGGCAGTTACATGTGTGAGGAGCTAGTTCGTGCAGGTCCAACGGTGAGTGACAGGGCGGCCCTGGTGGCTTCCTCGAACAGGATTGCGTCCGGGCCGTCAAGCAGCTTCGAGATCGTGGTGTACCTGTGCCAGTGTCGACGGAAGCTGTCGACCTAGGAGTGGACGCGTCGGCGGGTAGGAGGCGCAACCTGCAGAAGATGAACGACAGAGTATCCAAGGCCCGTCGGCGATTTCATTTCGTGCGTAGAATGCGTCGGCTTCCGAAGTTAAGGCACATCACTTCCTCGTCGTGGTCGATGGGAGTCCGTCCTCAGTGTATTCACGGTCTTCAAGCTTACGAAGTTCCCAGCCATCTCCTTACGTGTCTGCGTCGGCAAGGTGCGCAGTGTTCGGTCGGCAGCGGGCCTGGGCGCTGCCTGACTACTGCGGCGGCGATGACGTACCAATCTCGAGATCCTGCGAAGTCGACTCGGCGCGAACAGTTGTGTTCATGGTTGAAGATGCGGCGAGGACATCCTGAGTACCATGCTCGTGTGGCTCTAGCTTGGGAGAAGATCAGGCAACGGCTCCGCATTGCAGGATCGAGGAGGTCGAGGCTGGTGAAAGGAGCGATCGGAGCGACGATTGCGACGTTATACGACATTTGCTGGCACCCGTGGTCTCCGATGTCTTGGGCATATGACCAGTGTTATTGGTCGATCCCGCCAGTGGCTGACGACGAGGTCAGCAAGTTTCACGGTGACTTCACGGGTATCTTGGACGACGTCGAGGCGGCCAGTGACGCCCAGCTATGGAGGTCAGCGGCGAACCACCTGGACTGCAAGGACCTCGTCGGCAGTGCGGACATGTACCACGCGTGCACAGGGATGGCCAGGCTCGGCCCCAGAGACCTGGGCGACGAGTGGGCCTTGAATGCGGTGGTCGTCGCGGGGGGGGGCAGTGAACGCGCGGGCGTCTGAGTGAGGCAGGTAACGAAGTCCCGAGTCGTTTGTGTCCACGGTGCCAGAGGGCACCAGAGACGTTGGTTCACATAATTTTGGCCTGCGAGGCCAATGTTGGCCACGAGGGTTTCACGACGTCCGATATTTCATGTGGCCAGGCCCGAGCGAACCACGAGAGCTCCCCGAGTTTTTGGCTCCGAGGGTCCCCAGGGAGAGACGAAACGATTCCCAGTTTCAATGACGGACCCCAGAGACTCCGGAGCTTTGGGAACATCAATTCTATCCCGCGCGGCGCCGAGGGTTATGCTACCGTTTTCGGGGACGGGTCGGGAGGTCGCTTTTCGGATGACCCTCGGCGTCGCAGGGTGGGTGCTGGAGTAGTGGCGCTCGCGCCAGATGGAGCCTTTTGGAAATCGGCCTGGGGTTGTTGGAACCACCATCCAGGGGAGGAGGCAGGCGGTGCCTCGCGCGGAGACCACTGCCCTCGCCACTGCCCTGGAGCTCCTCCCAGGCCAACTGCGTTTCATCACCGATGACCTGCCGTTCCTGTCCACCTGGTCCAGAGGAAGGCGTATCGGGTTTGAGTACGTTGGGGGGGGGGCAATGCCGACCTCTGGCCAAGGGTAGCGCCAGCACTCCAGGCCAGAGAGCCTGAAGACGTGCTTCTCGATTGGGTTGCCCCCCGCCAAGAGGAGACGACACTCCGATCCGATGCCGACAGATTCCGTGCGTTCGGCAATGAGTGTGCTGACGCTATGGCGCCGGCGATGGCCGAGATTGCTTGGACCAGTTTTGTTGTTTTGGACCTTCCTTCTGACACGAGGGATCCGGAAGCCGCCTTGATCCGACGGCGTGCTCGTCGGGCGTTGGGATGTGCGATTTTGTCGGGTCCGTGGTCCGTGGAACGGCCGAAAAGCTGCGGTCCTTCGCCCCTCCCTGAGTTGGCGGGATTCGACCATCGATGGTGTCGTGTGGGTGATAAGTTTTACTGCAAGCAGTGTTCACAGCTTTCGAATCACGATACGATTTTCCAAGCGTGTGCGACCCAGTGCGCGTGCAAGCGCTGTCGGGAGTGCGAGCCTTTGCGTGGACCCCAAAAAGTGAGCGGCAAGGTCCTCCACCCGTCGCACTCATTGCAGTATTGGAGTAACTACTGCCACACGTTCTGTAGCAAGTGCGGGTTTAGTTGCACCACCGACCTTCGGCAGTTGGTTGCGGAATGTGCCCCCCACGCCCAAAGGAGACATAACTTAGCTCGAATTAATGCGGGTAAGTATCCCCACCCTTCGGGGCCCCCGAAGGCGGTCCGAGAAGCTGAGGTGGCTAGAATTGCCAAATGAGCATGGACTGTCGCCGTCCTCTAAGCGAACATTCCCGAACATTCCTCCTCCTCCTCTTTGTTGTGTTCCTCCTCCTCCCCTACTCCTCCTCTCCTCCTCCTCCTCCTCTTCCTCCTCCTCCTCCTGCCTCTGCTGCTCCTGATCCTCCATTTCCTCCGTCCTCGTCATCCGCTCTCTTCCGTCCTCCTTTGCTCCGTTTTCTTCCGTCCGTCCTCCTCGTCCCCCTCCTCCCGCGGGGAGGGGGCCGAGCGACAGAGGCGAGGGGGCGTTTTCGGAGCGTTTTGGAGGTGGGAGAGGGGGAGGGGGAAGAGGATTGTGAGGAGGGGGGGGAGGAGGAGGAGGGGGAGGACGAGGAGGAGGAGGAGGAGGAGGAGGAGGAGGAGGAGGAGCAGGAGGGGGAGGAGGAGGAGGAGGAGGACGACGACGACGACGACGACGACGTCAACGACAACGACGACGAGTAGCAGGGCGAGCAGGAAGGAGCAGGGACAGGAGCAGGGACGACGGGGGAGGGGTGGGGAACACCGGACAACCCAGGGGGGTTGGCCAGGGTGCGTGGGGGGAGGGGAGGGGAGCGGGCGGGCGCGAGGCGGGGAGGGCCCCAGGCCCCAGGCCTCCGGCGTCGTGGTGTGTTGCCGTCCTGGCGTGCTTCTTCGATCTGGGTCTCTCGGGGCCGTCGTCGGGGGCGGCAAAGTGAGGGGGGGTGATGACTAGGGGGGAGATTTCATGGCGTGGGCCATGATATTTCCTTTGATTTCACGGCGCCTCTTCTTATTTCATTACGTTCCTGGCCCCCGCTGGGCCGCGCACGTGCCGCCGGCCATGATTTGAGCCCCCCCTTGGACGCCCCCCTCTTGGCCGCCCCCGACATCAGGGAGCGGCCCGAAGCCAGAAACGGGTCCCGTGCAACGGGCTGTTGGCCTGGGGGCTCGCGGGCCAAAAGAGCATCCTAGTCTGTGGTGTGGCGTCGTGGCTCCATGAGAGATAGGACCCCACATCCTTCAGGTGGGCATGACTTGCGAGAAAGACAAAGGCACGGAGAGGGCTGCATGCAGGGCGCCCGTATTCTCGTGGCGTCTCTTTCTCTACTGAGGCGTTGTCCGGGCCTTCTTGGTTCAGGAAGGAGGAAGAGGAGGAAGATTGAAACAATCGGCAAACGAGACAATGCAGGAGGGAACGAGCAGGAGTGAGGAGGAAGGGGCAGAAGGAGGGCGGGAGGTAACGAGGATGGGAGGGCTGAACAGCAGGCAGAGGGAAGGCGGTAGAGAAGAAATAACGACAATAATCATCATGGAGATATGGACAGAATTGGGGGAATGAACACGGAGGGAGAATAGGAGAGGGGGAGGAACGAAGCAGAATGGGAAGAGGAAGGAGACAGAGAAATGAAGAGGGCAGAAGCATCTTTTAATTTCAGTCTTTTCTTACTTATAGAGAGATACAGGGTGAATGCGGAAATGCGAGGGAGACGGAAGGAATGCAAAGAAATTAGAAGCACCCCGAGGCCAGTTGAAAGGTCGGGCCAGGCGTTTCGCCTGAGTTTTCCTCACCCTCTATGACCATGAAGCTTAGAAGTTGGCAGCAGCTTCGCAGACGGAAGGCGGGTCGCGTGGCTCTCGCCTTCGCGCCGCGCACACTCGTTTTAGAAGTTGCAAAAGTTCCACGGGTTGAGGGCTTGTCGTTTCAAAAATTTGGCTCTCGCCTTAGCGCCGCGCACATTCGTTTTCAAACTTCGCAAGAATTCCACGTACTGAGGGCGGGCCGTTGTTTTAAAATGTGCCTCTCGCTCTAGCGCCGCGCACGTCCGTTGTGCAACGCTGCAAGATTTCCACGCATTGAGGGCGGGTCTCTTTCAAAATGTGGCTCTCGCTTTAGAACCGCGCACACGTGCTGAAAAAAATGTATGAGTTTCACGGATTGAGGGGGGATCGTTTTCAAAATTTGGTTCTCGCTTTAGCACCGCGCACTCTCGTTCTAACAAGTCGCAACAGTTTCATTGATTCCAATGGTTAACGTACCAGAAATTGCGTTTTGGAACGACTCAGGGCTATCAGGGCGCAGCGGTTGCGCTGATTCGCGGTGTAGAAGTCCAGAAATGGTGAGCTGACACGATTCAGGATCGCCAAGACGTACCAGTCAGGTTCATTCGTGGCGTTGGGCTCCTGAGAATAGTGTTTTGGCACGCTTCCGGATTTTCAGACGTTTGTCCCCCAACGGGGCACTTCCCACCATGGAAATGAATTTTTCCAGGGGCTTGTGAAGAGGGAGCTTGGAGGAAGGGTGTGTTCCAACATCGGTTGAGGAGTCGTCGGCGTACACTTGTCCTCCTCCTCCTCCACCTCATGGATCCTGGCTCCCCCTTGATGAGGAGGAGGGAACGGGAGCGACGAGGGGAGCCCGAAGGTCGCAGGCGGAGCGGCGCACGACCTCATCGACTTCATCAAGAGAATCAAGACTGCCGAGGTGAACACCGACGAGCAGAAGAGGGCAGCGGCTGAACTTCCGCTGGGCGACCAGGACAGTATATTGAGCAGGCGGGGGAGGAGGAGGGAGGAGGGAGGAGGAGGAGGAGGAGGAGGAGGAGGAGGAGGAGAGAGGAGGAGGAGGAGGCGAGAGGAGCAGGGGGGAGAAGGATGAGTTGGTGAAGGAGGGGGAGAAGGGTGGGGGAGGAGAAGGGCGAAGAGAAGCGGGAAGAGGAGAGGCAGGAGAGGAGGGAGGGGAGGGAGGGAGGGAGGGAGGGAGGGAGGGAGGGAGGGAGGGAGGGAGGGAGGGAGGAGGAGGAGGAGGAGGAGGAGGAGGAGTGGAGGAGCGAGATGTTCGGACGTGCCTGATACTTCCCAGGCCCTCGGAGGATGAGGCAGGGAGGGAATGAGGAGGACCTAGGAAGGCTCGAAGGTCATTTGGAACCGTCTTGGGGCTGTCCTGGGGCCCCTTGGAGGTATGTCGGAGGCTATACTGAACCATCTTCGTCTATCTTGAGCCATCTTGGAGGCCGTCTTGGGCTGCTGGGGGCCCCCTTGGAGCGATCTGGGGCCCATCTTGGAACTCGAACTACCTGGGCCGCTCCCGCTCACAGGCTCAGGGGACGGGGTATGGGGGAGGGGTAAACACCTCCCCCGAGCAGGGAAGGAGGAGGAGAGAAGACACAACTCGTTACACGATCTACGCCCTAAAGGGCTGGTGGGATTTACGACAGTCCCGGGGTTCGAAAACGTTGGGGAGACTCGGATAACACAAGGAGAGTCGCTTCGCGAGGGGCATAGTGGAGCGACGTCGGAGCAGAAATCCTCTAACACTCGGGTCGTGTTCTGCGGGGCCATACGCATTTCCAAGAGGGTGACCTGTTTACGTTGCTCAGCGTGTGGCGACACATGAAATATACAAACGCGTTGTGGTGCTAAGTGTTTGGAGGTGGCATGGAAGTGGCTTGGTACTGTCTTCCCCTAGGGGGTCCAGGCGATAGCGGCGACTCTAGGTGCCTCTCACGCAAGCAACCGGCGTCGCCCCCACCATCACCACCACCATATCGAGTTTCAGCGAAGAGCAACAAGTGTGTTTGTGTGTGTGTTGTGAAGTTGGTGTGCGGCGTGCGGCGAGGTGGCATTTTACTTGGAACGCATCCCGTTCTCGTTTCTCGCTTCACTTGAGCCGCTGATTGCACTCCATCGGAGCGCCGCAGGGAAAAAGGGTGTGTGTGTGTGTGTGTGCGTGTGGTTGCGATAGGGTTGTAGGCGTCGCTGTAAAGTTTGGATTGGTCGAAACCGATGTGGTGTTGCATGTTTCCCTGGCAGTCCAGCCAGAGATGCGATAATGGAGGCGTGTTGTGTTTTGGCGAGTTTGCGAACGTGAATTTGCCGTCCCCCTTCTCGGATCGATTTGCTCTTCGGAGTCGCAAAGACGCGGGCTCGGCCCTGGCGCACGGCAGGATAATTGCAATAGTTCGGGCCGTCGTGACGTAAGTTTGTATATCTCTCTCTCTCTCTCTCCTCCTACCGTCCACGAGGACGTGGAGTGGCTCAAGCACGCATACCTCGCGTCGCGCTACCCCAAGCCGGGCCGCTACGGCGTGCCCGCTTTGCTTTACGGGGACGCCGAGGCCGAGCGCGCCCTCAAGCCCGCGGCTCAGCTGAACCGCGCGCGTCGCGCCGTGCTGGGACTCTGGCCCTGCCGGAGGGTGCCCCGCCAGTCGATTTGGCCCGACTGCGGGGGCCAAAGGGGGGGATAGGGAAAGGGGGGTTACGAAATCTGCTGCATGCAGCTGGTTTCGGCCCCACCGAGGGGCCCATTCCTCGATACATAGCCGCCTCCGGCGCCGGGAGGCGCAATTCTCAAGCCCCCCCTTTGCTATCCCCCCCTTTCGCCCGGCCCGAAAGGAGTCAGGTGCACAGTTTGTTTGGTGTCGGTTTCGCTGCAATTGGGTAGTCCTGTTGATCACAGGACGCGGGGGGTGCGAGCATCGAGGGCGGCCTCTGCCAAAGTCGGCACTGCGCGTGCCCCTCTAACGTCTCAGTGTGCTAGATTTGTTCCACCATCTCCCCTCTTCGTACCCCTGTTCTGTCTCTCTCTCTCTCTCTCTCTCTCTTTCGAGCTATGAACGCCCCTCTTTCTGAGCGGCTCCCCAGGAAGGTGGCCCCCATCGCCAGGGATGTCGGGGGCCCCCCAGACGGTGTGGTGACCACACCGTGGGAGCCAGTGGGGATTCCGGTCACCGCACGGTGTTGGGACTCGGGCGAATCGCCGAGGATGTCTCGGGCGACTGGAGCCCATGAGGTGCCAAAAGCGTGCGGTGACGGACCGCGCGGTGAGGTCTTTTGGGATTTCGAGGTCGCCGCACGGTCTGTCAACACGCGGTTTCGGGACCCCGAGGATGGCGTGCAGGCGTGGCTTGTCGACGGAGCCTGAGGGCAGCTCATTTGGGCCGGGGCCTCGTAGGTCGCCAACAGCTCTGCCGCTGCCCCCCCGCCCCGCATTGACGCCATCTCACCAGTTTTGAAACATATCACATATCCCTATCCCTGTGTTTGGCATCACCTCACCTCGATGCCGATCTTAAGGATCCCCTCAGTTTCTGAGGGCACATCCCTGAGATTGTCCTCGCTTTTTGCTGGCCCATCTTGGGGATAGGGATAAGTCCGGGGCTGGTTACCATCCCCCGGCCATAGATGTTTCTCAAAACGCTGATGGCGCTTGTCCTTCCCGTCTTCAGACTCGACGTTTTTATGTGTTTTGGACGCCGTTCTTGTTACAGTTTCAGGCCCAGGATCGGCCTGGGGCCCACCTGCCGCACTGGCGCCATCCCCCGACCGTAGCTGCTTTCAGACATGCTGAGGGCGGATTTTTGTTCGTCTTGAAAAGCGACGCGTCTGTGGCGCCGTTTTTGTGGCCCTCTCAGCTTCAGGATCGGCCTGGGGCCCGCCCACCCGTGGACTCGCGCTCGGAACGGCCAAGGGACATCCGATCGGCAGCGAAGCCGTACGACCTGCCAGCTGGAGCACCCGAGGCCGAGGGAGGCCCAGGAGAGGGCGAGGGAAGGCGTGGCCGCGCGCCCACTGCGGCCCTCCGAGGCATCGACGTCGGCAGTCCAGCTCCCTTGTCGGGCGGCCGTGGGACGTCCGAGCGGAGGCTCTGAGGCATCCTGCGTTCAGGTTGCGGGGCTCCCACGGTGGACGTCTTGGGCGCCTCGGCCCTGGCGCACCGTGCAGAGGGGAAGGGGAGAAGGAGGGGGAGGCAGCCGGGTGCAGAGCCCGTGGCGCCTTCCAGCCGAGGCTGGAAGGCGCCCCCGTCTCGTCCCCCCCGCCGGGCGGAGCGTGGGGGGGAGAAGCCGCGAGCAGCAGGGAGGGCGGCGGCCTGGGGGGGGGGAGGGGGGGGGCATGGCGAGGCCGCGGGCTCCAGCGGGGGGTGGGGCCCGGCCTGGCCGTTCTCTCCGCGGAGGAGCGCCGGAGGGGAGCGAGGAGGGAGCCAGCACAGGCAGCAAGGCTGCTTTGCTTCCGATGGGCCCTGTGGGCAAGAAGGCATGGCACGGCGGGATCGCCCCTCCAGTGAGGTGTCCCCCGCACGGGCTTCGTCTTTCTAGCCTGGGGTGACGGCCTCTCTCTCTCTCTCTATTTCTTTCTAGTTTGTTTGTTGCCTCTCTCGCTCTCTTTCTCTTTTTTATCTCGCTCTATCTCTCTCTCTGTGTATATGGACAGCCCCCCCAGCACCCACTCAGTGCATGATTTAGTTTGACGATGTTGCAGTGCCGTTTTCCTTTCCTTCTCTTTCTTTTCCTTCCCTTTCCCTGACGTCTGCTGGCGCATTTGTTCGACACCACTGGCAAGCGCGCCCTGGCTGCTCGGCTGGTCAACGCCCAACAGCAGCGCAATGCGGAAGATGTTAACGGCGCTTTCCCCCGCAGAGAGAACCCAAAGCGTGTGAGCCCTGTTATTTCAGGGGGGTCTTGTGATTTCTGGGGAACTCATGCCAGAACCCCTGTTATACCAATGGGATGCTTCGGATTCCTGGGATTTTCCTTTCTCCGACAGAAATCTAGCTTGGACTCCCCCTCTCCCAGGGCTCCAAGTCCCAAGCATCCCAGTGATGTCACAGGGCTCGCGTCAGGGAAGCCCGAACCCTGATATCTCACTGGGATGGTTGTGATTCCTTGGGTGTTAATCAGAGAAGCCTTGTTATTTCACTGGGACGCATGTTCCTGGGATTTGCTTTTCTCCGACAATTTACCCTGGACTACTTGCTTTAGTGCTCAGGAGCAAGCGTCCAAGTAGTTTCACAGGGATCGCGACGTCTAGGAAGCCCAATACTTGTCATTTCGCTGGAATGCTTTGCATTTATTGGTTGCTAATGCCGGAAGCCCTGGTGTGTCAGTGGAATGATTGGGATTCCTGGTATGTGTCCCCCTCCGAAAATAATCGGTCCCGGACCACCCCAGGATTCCGAATCCCAGGCATCCCATTGAGTTCACATGGTTCGCGACATCAGGGAGTCCCAAACTTGTTCCATTGGGATGCTTTGGATTTTTGGGGTGGTATTCCCCGAAGCCTTGTTATTTCATTGGGATGCTTGAGGTTCTTGGGTGTCTGGCGTTCAGAATTTCGGGGGCTCCAGGGTATGTGTTTAGTTCGAGGAAAGCAAATCCCAGGATCCCCAAGCATTCCAGTGAAATGACAGGGATTCTGGGAATAGCACCCCAGGAATCCCAAGCATCCCAGTGAAATATCAAGGTTCGGGCTTCCCTGGCGTCGCGAATCCTGGGGATGTCTTAGGACGCTTGGGCGTTGGAATCCTGGGGGGGGTCAGGGCCGATTTTTTGTCGGAGGGAGGCACATCCCAAGAATCCCAGAAACATCCCAGTGAAATCACAGGGCTTCTTGGATTAACACCTCAGAAATCCCAATCATCCCGGTAAAGTAACAAAGTTTGGGTTCCCTGACGGTGCGACCCTTAGGTTTGAGCGCTGGGGCAGGGAAAAGG